TTCATTCAGAAATAGTTCATAAACTATTATGAGAATAAGAAGAAAATTTATTTTAGAATGCAAGGAAAGTACTTAGGTACATACTGTTGTCAATATTTAAGTATTGACTGACATTTTTTGACAACTTTCACAAAGATTTCTACTTGAGTTTGTAGCTAATAACATTTGTGAAAAGACTAATATTATATTAGATTTCTTAATTAGAAAATATAGATATGAAGTTCTTTTCAAACAACTAGTATAAATTCTATGAGAAATTATAAATAAACACTTGGTGTCAAGGCTTACATGCTACAAGATATTAATTAATAAAAGAATGACTTCAAGGGTATAAAAACTTATTAACTATGTTATTTCATCAAACATTTATATTAGCTTAGAGCAATGAATAGAATAAGACTTTTATCTATATGTCATATATAGAATCAACAGAAGAAACCATTAAATAAATTAAAAATGTAGATCAGATTTCATTCTAATTATAAAAAATATTTTTTAGTAAATCATTATCTGTCTCAAAATGTTGCTTATTTCGGTTAAGTCTCTGTACCCCACTATTATCATTCTTATAATACGATGTAGATATTGAACGTTGATATTTGCATGAATATCTGACAAGAAATGGATGATACTGATAGATAAGCGAATGTTTCGTTTTATTTTCTTTTTCTCGAAATCGCTTTAAATTCTCTATTAAACAATGTCATTTCTTCATATGTTACTTTCAAGAATATTTTTTTATACGACCATTATTTATAAGTTATCGTACATATTTCTCGATTCGGTTTTTACTTTCATTAATCCTTGATTATACAAAATCCAATCAGATGGAAATTTATTAGATGTGGATGAAGGACACAAGAAAAATTTCTTTTTTTTATCACATAGAAATCTATTGATTGATTTTAGAATAGTAAAGTCAATGTCTAAGATATAAAACAGTCTTTTTCATGATTGTTATGAATTCGTATTCTATATTCATCATTTCTGTACATTTTCGATTCAATGAATAATCATAAAAATATGAAATCGTTTAAAAAACCAACTAGTAAATATTGACTGCCATAAATAGGTACTGTTATTTCATCTATAGTATATATTGCACAAGGTAGATTTGGTTACTCAGGAGATAATCGGTATATATGAATATGTCACTCAACGATCGTCTCTCAGTAAGATTCTTAGTAAAATATTGACGATAGGACTTTTTTTTTTGCAAATATGTGAATCATTAAAAGATATCGGATAACCAAGAAATTTAGTTCTAAATAAACATTTGGTGTAATATGTTTTAATTTATTCTATGGATATATTTATCATCGTATTTATTGGTTCGTATGCTTGGAATATAATTATAGATTGAAGTATTTTTAGTTTATAATTGTCATCAAATGAGAGCGAGCATTTATGTTGTCAATACATAATATATTTTTATTGACAATGTTGTTATCAACATAATATTGCTTAAGAATGATCGAATAAATTATGTACGCTATTAATCATTTTAATAGATTGAAAACAATTATTTAGAAATTCTATTTTCTCTACTGATTTCAATTTTAATTAATAAATACTTCGTCTTCCCCAAGGCTAATAATAGTAATAAAAAAAAAGAAATCGATAAAATTAGAATTATATATTTATATTTGATGTCAGAGAAATAAAACAGACCTAATCATTTATGGGATCATAGAACCGGAAATCGTATGGTTTATGAAATACGGCTTGAATGAGGCATCACTAGAATTATTAAGTACTCACAATAGCTGAAGTAGAAAACACTCTTTAGTGTTCAACTAATTGAATTCTATTACATATATACCTCTTATAATATCTTCTCTTCCGGATCGGAGATAAGATCTGACGCAAGTCTAAAAAATCTTTTTCCGCTTCTTCATATTCATATGATAGAATTCTCTTTTTTTTTTGTGACAACTAATTCTATAAAAGATAACTGGAAGCAATTTGTAATGGATCACTATCAATTATAGATTTATTATGGATCGATATAAATGTTCGATCGACATTTGATGCTATTCTATTTAAACAATAAACAAAAAAATAAATAGGAATTATATTTTTTAAGTTTTATGATTTTTCAAGTATGTTTTATATATAGAACTGATAATTAGATCGATGTTGACATTAATATGAGAATGGTATACAATAATATAAGTTTTATCATCTATTGATTATATATAAATAAGATAAAAGAAAAAAATTATATTATCATATGTTATGAAAACATATCAAAACCTTAATTAGTTAATGTCGAAGTCATACTGATTTATATCATTTGAAGACCTACTTAGATTTCATGTTTAAGATTATATATAACTTTTCTATCAGTTTTTTTTTAGTAGACATTTCTCTATTTCGAATCATGCTATATACAAGACAACCACCAACCAACATTTTATAATGACAAAAAAAGAGATAGAAAGAAGAAGAAGAAGCAGAAGAAAAAAAGAAATTTTATTCATTTATATATATTTTTTTTATAAGCACTCATTCTACATCAACGCTATGATGAAGCTTTGCTTGCTTGGCTGAAGTAAATCTTTAGTATAATATATCTCTCGAGTGTTTTCTCTACGCTAATGACTAGTAAAGAAAAAAGAGAAAAAAAATATTTTGGACGTCAATAAGATATATTGTAGAGGTATATTATTGTTATATGACCATATTGAATATAAAGAAAAGGGTTATATATATCTATATTCAAACAAAAAGAACGAGTTAAAAGGAGCATATTCTTCCTTTTTTTTCATAGACTAATGCATATATCATCTCACAAATAATCGATTTCTAAATAAATCCTTCTTCTTTCTTTTGCTTATTTTATTTCGTTAATAATATAGCGATTGATATGCCAAACATTGTTTAGATCAAGCATGTTGATATTTAATTATATGTGTAGGAAGAACAAGTATAGATAACTACCATTTGTGTTTTTATACTAATTGCGATTACTTCGATCGCCCACCCATGCGAGTCGAGTATTTCTTTGATAGACTACGAGTTTCATATTATCGAAAAATTGATCTTCATCAATGAAGTTGCCTGTTTTCTCTTTCTCGTTGTCCTTCAACGCATAGCAGGTAGTCAGTATTTAAGAGAAAAAAAAAGAGAGAAGTTTTATGCACACATTTACATATACACACCGATAGCAAATTACTGCTATTTCTATTAGTAGTACTGTTCCCTATTCTTTTGCCGTTGCTGTATGGTGACAACTAGAAGAGTACACTTCTTTCTTTTCCTTCTCTTCATTGCTTCATCGTAGGTTTGCGGTACTGCCATGCATTTATTGCACGTAGAGAGCAAATAGTTGAGAGAACGAGAGAAACCCGTAGCACATGTGCTGTTGCTGCTCGACATAGCCGAAGTGTCGACGCTGCTGTCGAGAAATAAAAGAGAAGAGAAGAGAAGAGAAGAGAAACGAGAAAAAGCTATTTTGGCATATATGCTCGTTTCATCTATAATTCATGCTTGATTATTCACTTCTCGCTCGCACTCAGTCTCTAGCAGTACTGCTATTCGGTGGGTGACTAGCAGTATTGTGTTCGGTTGTGCATTGTAGCATATTAGTCTATTCAATGAATCTTTCATACTCGTTCTTGTTGACAGGTTTCCAATTAGTTTTCAATATGAACAAAAAAAGTCTTTCTCTATTCTATTCTTTTATTTTCATTTGAAGTCTCTTTATCGTAAGTAGTAAAGTTGTAATCGATCAAAACTCTAATCATTCATATTAATTTATGTATTCATATATTAGAATATAAAATGAATATAGTCTTTATAGATAAATAAATACATACATATTCAATAGTTCCCATCGTTTCCTAATATTTATAGGAATAAGACATGAGAAAAAGCATATGGTAAAGACTTAGAAAACTCCTTTTTTTGTTTTGTTTAACATAATCGGTGAGTTTATTTATGTAGAAATCTATTGAGATAATGACTTTAAATAAAAAACTAATCAATTATGCACATATAGCTTTCATTATTTAATGGTTACTATTCTTTAAGTAAAAAAAATGTCGAACATTATTAATAATGAATTTTTAATATAAAAAAAAGAAAATTTTTTCTTTATTATTTACCATAGAATGCTTAAGAATAAGTGAATTCCTATATGTACCAGTCCTTTTCAATCACCGTAATTAATATAATAAAAACTTTGGTTAATGAGCCTTCCGTTTGTCGGTGAATCTCGCTTCCCGATTAAGCTTTTCAAATAACGAAGGAGAAAAAGAGAGAGAGAGGGAGAGAGATAAATAAAACGGAATGAACACGCATATATATATATATATACACGCAAAAATGCACATATTTACAAAGGAAAAAAAAAGAGGAAAAAAAGAGAAGCTATGGTAGTCGTTGTCAACAATGATAAGGAGGTAAAGGTGTAAAGTGTAACATCTCATGTTGATGAAATTCGATTCTTTTTCACTCTTTTTTTGACTGTTGGTTTGTCTACTAGAATCATTATACTTTATAAACGATTGCACGATTTTCAACCCATTTCTTTTACTTTCATTATTCTGTAAAGAAAAAACGAGCAGAACGAGAAACATGAGACAAAAATTCCAAAAAAAAAATAGACGGGAGCTTGTTAATGGCTAATAGAGTCTGAACATGAAAGCTATTCTAGACAGAAAAAGTCTAGGTTCCAATCTAATATTTTTTTTTACTAATCACCTCCGATTCGAAGAGAATGAAGATGAAAGAAAGAGCAAAAAGAAAAGAAAAACTAATATTATTATTCGTTTTCTTTCTCTTTGGAACGAGAGCACAGATTTTTGACGGAATAGAAGAAGAAGAAGAAGGAGGAGAAGGCGAAGAAAAAGAAAAAAAAAAGAGAGAGAAAGATAGATAGAGCATAAAAAAGGCGACCTGATGACCTTGTATATGGTTTTAGTATGTCCTCTCTGCATAACTAACATGTGAACATTGATCACAAGTGAATTTAAATACAAAGATCTTCAAACAAAATGACAGACGAAATTGCTAATTTTACTGGTGTCAGTTGTCAAAAATTTAAATGTTCTGCTCGTGGTCTTTTATTACCATTTGGTAATCATTTTTTTCTTAACCGTGAAATAATTAATATTTCTTTTGTTTTATTTTTCTATTAATGAATAGGTATTGAAGCATGCATGCCAATAAAATTACGAGCAGTATTATATTTTATTTTTTTACTATATCTTTTTCTTGGTATTGCTATTATTGCCGATATATTTATGTCTTCAATTGAAACTATAACATCAAAAAGACGAAAAATACGTTATCCTGATCCAGGTGAAAAAGATAAATATTTAACTGTTGAAGTTCGTACATGGAATGATACTGTTGCTAATTTAACATTAATGGCACTTGGTTCAAGTTCACCTGAAATTCTTCTATCAATTATTGAAATAGTTGGAAATCGTTTTGAAGCTGGAGAACTTGGTCCTGGAACTAGTAAGAATCTAATTAGATTTTCAACTAAAGAAGATCTCATCTATCAAAAACTGCACTTAATTAAAATAAGAATATAAATTATCTTTTCTAAATGTAATGTCAGAAACATATATTTTTTTTTTTATTAGATTAGCAGATGATAAGGTCATGATATTCTATTTTAACCTTTATATATATGACTAGATGTATTTTGCGGAAACCCTTTGTGGTGATCTTAAAAAACAAAGCATTCTAAGAAATAAAAAGAGCAATATTATTAATCAGTTTTTTATTTATTATTTTAGTTGTTGGTTCAGCTGCTTATAATTTATTAATGATTTCTGCGTTATGTATTTCTGCTATTAAGGCTCCAGAAACAAGGAAAGTTAAATTGTACAGTGTTTTTATGGTAATTAACGCTTTTTTTGAAAATATTTCTAAGATATAAATCTGTAATTATATATTAAAATAGATCACATCTTTCTTTGGATTTTTTGCTTATATATGGATGTTCATTGTCTTATCGGTTATATCAAAAGATGTTGTTGATCTTTGGGAAGCTGTCATTACATTTCTCATGTTTCCGTTGGTTGTCATTTTAGCATTTCTGGTAAATGAACGTTTAGATAAAAACAAAGGCAAAATGATCTTGATGTTTTATTAGGCTGAAAAAAATTTCTTTGCTTCAAAGAAAATTGACATGGACGAAGAGGAACAAACACTCATATTAAGTAAGTCAAGGCTTTTTCTTTTTCCTATGTATATTGTCAATATTTTCGAAACACTGATTATATACGTGACATATATCTAATGTTCTATTTTTCTAGCACCACCAGAACGTGACGAAAATGGTAGTCCACGTAATTTTCGTAAAGATGAACTTCTACAATTCTTACGTGTATGTTTTAATTAATATTGTAAACAATATTGATGAAAAAATTTCTTTTTCTATAGGATCTTGGTCAAACAACAAATTTATCATTAGAAGATAAAGCACAATTATTTGCAGCTAAATTAAGTGAAAGTATGCATCGATCACGTATGCAATATCGTATTCAAGGTGCTCGAATGCTTACCGGTGGCAAATCTTTATTTCTTAATTTGCCTGACAAACTACAAGAGGTTTGTAATAATTTAATTAATTAGGAGAAATATGTTTTGATTTTTAATTATCTAAGTTAATATTTTATTACGTATCTATCTATCTATCTATCTATATATAATTATCCAAACAGATCTATTCTGAAGTACATAATCGTGATTCACTGGTGGTTGATCAACGAGCATCATTAGTATCAAGAACAGGTGATGAAGATGATACTATTGATCCTGATGATCATCGAGCATTAATTGAATTTTCTACAACAACATATGCTATACTTGAACGTGAACAAAAAGTTAATCTTAAAGTCAAACGAAGGGGTCCGATTGATGTCGATGTTCGATTCAGGTGTTTATTTTTTTTCGCTCCGTTCGTTTAATCACTCGTGCATATATACGCTATTTTATTAACGCCATGCTGCATAAAAAGAATTATATTGATCTATATATTTATATATATATACATTCTTTTAATTACTAATTTGATGCATTCTTCTTTTTTTTACCGAAGTAACTCTTTTATGATCTTTTTATATTTGAGAATGAAATAAGAAAAAAAACTATTACACCCTGGTTCGTTTAGATTTACGAACGAGCTATTAAACCACAGCCTGTTGATGGGAATTTTCCGGCTGAACATTCATTTGGTAGAAAGGGAACATTATCAAAAATAGAAGTTGATGATGATCCACGTTTGGCTATACTTGAGTTTGCTTCATCCAGTTATGCTGTACTTGAACGTGAACAGCGTGTAACTGTCGAAGTCGTTAGATACGGCTTCGTGAATTCCGTTCTTCATTTTCGGTAGGTCCCGATCACATAGTCCATATACTTGTTATTATATTTTGACGTCTGGTGTATTTGTTGTTTTCATCAACTAGAAAACCTATTTTCCTACATCACTAATTGTATTCAAATATCCACCTACTGTTTGACCCCTTCATTAACCAATAATATAATTTCAAGTATTCTTTCAAATAAGATCAAAAGATAATATGAGAAAAGTTTGCATGATATATGCTTTTATAGATTGTATAAAACCTGCCTATTCTTTGCTTTATATTTGCCTGCTTTAAGCTAAATTCTTGCACGCTTTTTCTTTAGAA